TGTTTTGGACAGTATGCTTGGTAGCATCTCTGAAACCATCCTGCAGAACCTTTGGACACTCCCACACCAATAAAATACGACCCAGTGCATTTTGATTGCACGGTTTGGTGACGATAAAGCTTTCATTTTGCGGGGAGTGAAATATGCTCTTTGTATGAAATTAAAATGAATAACTTGATGGTTGGGATTCCTGGAAGATAGTTGGACGTTCTGCCAGATTGGTTTCCAATTTTAGTTGGAGCTATTTGAGGAAAAGCTCTGGCCTTCCATAATCAGTCAATAGATGGGGGGCTTACTGGAGGCCTAATGCAAGGTCAGAGCTGTGAGAGATGGATGTGTGGAGAGAGGTATGTACTATAAGTGCGCATCACTGTGCAGAGTTGGAGGTAGAAAGCGAAAGATGTGCCCGGTAGATTGAAAGGTTTCTGGATGTTTTGAAATGCTTCGAGGCCCATTGGACCATAAATGTCACAGACAGTGGGCACCCTTTTATTGAGGAGAGGAAATTCGTTGGCTTCCCAATCCGAGGTTATTGTGAAAAATGAGAGAGCGAAGACAAAAATTTTGCAGTGCTTTTTGGAAAGACGCCAGGTGGAGATTACTTAAGTAATAATTGAGCCAAATTTTATTCTTGATTGTTTAAGTTTTAAAGGGTTGAGTGGATCAGATCTTGTAATCTGAAAGAAGACAAAGGAGGAAGCAGCGATTCACTACGTGTGACACAAATGAGCAGCGGTTCCTCTGGAAGCTAAGTTTACCAAATCCCCCTTTGCTGTTTTGCTTTTGGAGAGCTGGCAGTTTCAGGCTGTGTTTATTATTCTCCCATACAGATGCTAGAGAATGAATGTTTTGTGAATGGGTTTTAGTGTTTTTTTTAAGGTATCGCTGAAAGTTGATTTTTGGAAGGACATTTATTTTAATACTGGAGGTGTGAGAGCTTTCTGATCTTTATACATGTATGTCTTCTAAATTAGTAGCAACAATCTTATTGCTCTGTTGGAAAGCACTTAATATAGATATATAGGAACAACTTTTCTTCATTTGACTATTTCTGTCATGAGTTCCTGCAAATGTTTTTAATAATGTTTGTTATGGAAGGCTTTGGGGGGGTGTGTTAGCAGAAAGATTTGGGAACTATATAGTTAATCAACTTTATTGCAAGTAATATTATCATTACGGTATTGAACAATGTTATTGCACATTGCAGAGTTTCTTCATATTGTGCAGGCCTACTCAGTGTTTTCCGTTTTGAACTGCAGGTATATTGGATCTGGAGGTTGCAGCAAAGCAGATTTACCCCAGTTAACTTTATATCCTGAGATTGGGCTAAAATTGTTGAATATATATTTAGTAGCTGCAGAAGAGAAAGTGGGACATCCTGGATAAAAAACATTTTATAATCAGCATTTAGAGAAATATTGTCTTTTTGATTTTTTTGATGTAAAGAGAAGTTGTCATGGTACCAATCACACACCCGTTGCCTCCCACTATTTCTGTTCACGGCACACTACCACGCTCATTTCAACTCTTTTCATTTTAGCAGTTCACCTAAAATGGCAGTTTTATAGTTACTGCATCTAAAAGAAAAACGAGGCAGGTTGGAGTCATCTGAGTTGTTGAGTCCTACTGAGATTAGCAAAAGAGCGCAGTGAAAATTTCTCAGAACTAAAAGCCCTGAGTCATTACAGAGCACATGAAATTGAAGTAATGGACTGACGTCTGCACAGATGCTGTGAGCTTTACTTTATCTGCCATTTCCAGACTGTTGTGAAGCATTTGTGTGTGAGTAAACCACAAAGTGGCTGGTGTTTATTTTTGCATAATGTTGCATTTGCTGTGGTTGAAAGGAGGAGAGTTAAAGAAAAAACAAAGAGTGGTCAGCAGGACTGTCAAACGCTGCAGGCGGGTAAGAAACTGAGTCATTTAAGTACTTGGAGAGACATTTTGAGCCAAGAGGAAATAACTGGCAATTTGGGTAGCAAGTAAAAAGGTCTTGATGAGCTATGTTAAGAACTGCAAGTGTGTCCTTTTTTTTCCTCCATATAATCACTGGAAGTATTAAAGTTTTCGCCTCTGCTGTGCCGTCAGGTCAGCCCACACTGCCTCTTTGCTCCCCTGGTTCTGAGCCGTTGAGTTGGATAAATGAAACGAGAAATGGGGGAGCACACTGGTCAGACAGCTAGAGAGGTGAAACTCCAGACGTGTCATTAAGAGCTTCCACCGGCTCAGACGAGTCGCTCTTCCAGGGGTTCCCCTCCTCAGAGGAGCCGCTGCTGGCGGCTGTCGATGAGGCGAGCTCGGCGGCAGCATGGTGACAGCGTGATGACAGAACTGTGACACGTCTCACCAGGCCCGCATGATGTTAGCGTTGAAAATGGGAAAGATTTGAAAACAAGTATAATGAGGATTCTCTATTTCGATCCCAACCTTCCCCACCTCCGGATAAGGTCAAGTAGCTCTTTGTGTGCACCAGCCGCACAGGTTAGGAGAGGAACCATTGCTCTATTTGACACATTAACCGAGTTTATAAAGATGGATACTCGTATTTTTCTGCGGTGCCCGTGCCAGGTTTGGAGGAGATTTAGCTGAGATAGACTGGCTTTGAATGTACACTGAATGTTGGTAGCAGCTATTTGATTCCATTAATCTGATAGCCTGAGGAATAAACAAGCAGGCATGAGAAAGACAAAAAACATTACGGTCAAATCACATAGACTGTCTGGTCCTTTCGGTCTGACACTCCCACTTTTTCTCTCTCCATCTCCCCTACCATTTATATCACTAATTCAAGTCCATCTATTTAAGTGTAATTAAATTACCCCTTGATTCGATTTCAGCCCAATCTCTCCCTCTGCCCTGGCCGAGCTGCTTGAGCTCCAGGAAACAGGACACATCTCCTCTTCGGTTGCCAAGCAGGTCAGTGAGCTCCACAGACCATGCAATTATCCCCCTTCTGTCTGTCATTCAGTACGCACAGCCCGGCCAGCGCTTGTTTTGTATTCCGGCTCTCACCTGCATCTTACGGGGTTTCCCAGGTGTTCCAGGAGATGTGGAGGTCATCGGGCAAGACGGCCCAGCAGATCATCCAGGAGCACGACTTGGGGCTTGTTAGCGACACCACACAGCTGCACAGCATCTGCCAGAAGGTGGTGGAGTCGCATCCCGATGAGGTTTGGGGCAAAATCTCACATGTGGTTACAAATAAAAGGAGAATATTGTGCATGTTTTGTGTTTTTTTGATGTGTATTGTGTTTTACGTGGCCCCCTGTAGGTTCACGCCATCAGAAACGGGAACAAGAAAGTGCTGAACAAGCTGATGGGTCTGGTTCAGAAAGAGACCAAAGGTAGAGCTGACCCAGTTCTGGTCAGAGCAATTCTACAGGAGAAGACGTCGTGAAGGTCAGACTGTTGGGTTTGAAGTCAGCGCTGACCTTTAGGAAGCAATAAGACAGCGATGCTACGCCTCTGTGTGGAAATGTTCATATGCAGATTAACTGTGGATGTCTGGCAGCACATGAAGACTGGTCTTGTATGAAACCTGAGGCTTTGTAAATCTTGAACAGTATTTTCATTTGACTACAATTATGTTGTGTATTTATATGTGTTTGGAAAGTAATAAACTTTCTCAGGTGATCTGGGGCAGCATTGTGTCGCTATTCTGTTTCTGGACGGCTTTAACGAACCCCCAAAATACTGTAAAAAACGTTTATGTTGATGCAAAATGATGAGATATTTGATGTGGCTTTTATGTGCAATGTTTCCCCCCCTAAGAAATCATTTTTGCTTCAAACTCAGTGGTTGTGACTGCGAGGAAGGGTGGAGGGGATGAGCACAAGAATTATATCTCCTAAAGCACCTGCATATAATTTAATGTAGCCCCTTTTTCCATATAACTTAATGTACCATTGGCTCCTGCCATTTTGGCCATTATGGTCATTTGTGAGGCAGAAGATGAAACTGCTGACATGACAGATGCACTCTTGCCGAGAGAGGCAACAAAAGCCCTGCCCAGCGCCAACACCCAGCCAGGAGAAGCAAGCAGCGAGCGCCCCCTTGTGGTTGAAACATATTATATGGCCTGTTATGTTTTTGTACTTTTAGTGCCACATGAACTGTGTTTCCTCTCTGCTATTGGGGACACAAAGCTTAACAATTCTTCTTTAACTTGTCTCCTTAATTTCAACACCATTTTCTTCTACTTTGTGATTAATATTTATTAAATGTGAAGGGAATTCAACAGCTAACGATGGCTGCCTCGTCAGTTTGCATCAATATTTTTGTACATTTCAGTCAAATGTAGTAACGACAGGTTAGTCTATGATGGCATCTGATCCTCAGATCTCTATTATAAAGATCAGAAAATAAAGTAATGTGTGGAAATTATTTATGTTCCCTCACTTCACTGAGCTGCTGAAGCGCATGTCAACGTTACAGGCAGTTAGTTGTGGTTCCTGGTTGTTCTTCGTGAAGTCTGACAGCATCCAGTGCCCTGGATTTTGACCCGTACACATATTTTCTCTAATTTATCCCACATCCATTTAAAGTTTATTGCTGATTTTTACTTTCCACCCGTGCAGTGACCCGTTTGCACAAACAGGCACTAAATGGTGCAGTCTACTTGTCAAAGCGATGTTTATCTTGTGTATTTGAGCAGAAGTGATGCACAGGATATTTATGAGCGGCTCAAACAGTTCTCCATCACACTTCGCTTGAACTCTACTGTATGTCACAGTCGCTGCATGAGAATAAGGAATATAGGCTCCGGTGTTTAGACCGAGTTTTGAACAAAATCTGAGGAGGGATGTTTGGAAACTAAATGTATTAAACGAGGGCATCAGTGTCTACAGAACAAACAGCTGCAAACTACCTCTGGCAAAACGGAAATAATTTATTGATGGTGTCAGCCGAAACCTGCCAGGCAAAGCATCTGGGTTTCTTGTTTGAAAACCTTTCTTCTTTTTTTTATTTAGCTTAAGGGTCGACACATTCAGCATATCCAGTTTCATTTACCAGAATATTTCTTTATTAAAAGAGGCATTCCTTTGTATCTCAGACATGAACGACAAACAGCAACCCATTCAAATCTCAAACAGAAAACAGACGTGACTTTGTCAGAAAGGATGAGTCTTTGGAATAGAAACCTACTAAAGCAGAGACTGGTTTACAGTCTTGGTTGTTTTAACTGTGTTCATGCCACAGTGCTGTTAAAACCGTAAATGTGTTAACACAGACTGAGTGGCACTGTGGTATGAAAAGGCTGATAAAGTGCTCTGAAATGTTCTCTAACCAGAGAGAAATTCCAACTAGTCTGAGGATTACTGATATTGGTTCAAGTCAGTTAGCACACAAAGATGCATCATTCACCGTCTGTATCGCATCAAGTGGGAATCAACTGTATTTCAACTGGAACAGAAACACACAGCTGATATTTAAACCTAAAGTTAATCTTGTGTTCAAAATGCATGAGATGAGAATGCTGCTTTCAGTGTAGTCCACAAGTTTACAAGATGGAGTTGTTTTCAGTTGCCTTTCTTCACCATTTTTCTGCCAATAGAAAACCATGTTCACATCTACTTAAAGTAGTACATTATCTCAGAGTCTGAATCTTTTCATAGCTGAAAAAAATCTCATGTCATTATTTCTCTTTAAAATTCAGCATTGATTAGAGTTCTGTATCAGATTATCTCAGGAAATGTTCAATTCCAAATCGATTTCCACATTAAATTATGAATGAACTGCTTCTTTTTATCGGGTCGTGAGCAGGAAGCGATTGATTCTGTGCTCCTGGAAACTGAATTTAATGACAACTAAGACTTCTCTTTGCACTTTGACAATGGACGGCTTCAAGGGGGAAAAAATGACAACAAAAAACACATTGCTTTTTCTGCTTAGGCTGTAAGATTTTGTATTATTCCTGTTTAATTCCTTCAGAAATGAGGCAATAATGTGAACTAAAATTGGAACTTAGGCACCAATTTACAAGTATTTATGTGTTTCCGGTAAATTCATTTCGTAGATTTGTAACAAAATATCTCTCTCGTATCGTTGCATTTGGACATTCGCACTAACAACCATGTGCAACACCCGGACTAAGATAAAGGCGATTTACAACAGAACAGGTTGCCCCTGGTAACTGCTAGTCTGAATCAGCAGATGCAAAACTTTCCCAACAGTGAGATTTCAGACGGATCACAACTAAAACAACACAATCTCTAAATAGAAGAAAGCCCTAAACTATCACCAAAAAGCATCCAAGATAACTTTTTTTTTTTTTTTAAAGAAAATGGCAATAGAAAGTCAGTCTCAAAAAAGCTTAAATACCCCTTCCCATTATGAAAATATCCTAAACTCAATTATACCCGAAGGATCATTGATTTGCATAGTGTTCTATGTCCCCAGAACATTTTCTTCTTTCAATATATACATTATAAAGCATCGCTAAAGTAAGGCAAATTAAGTATAGCACTGAGAAACCTGGTTTTGGTGCTCTGGTTTGTCAATCTGTGCAGATATGGAAAAGACATAGAGCCCATCATGTGAAAAACCAGTACACTGTAGGAAAATTACTTCACCTAAACGGTGATTTAAGAATTAAGAAAACAGAACCTGAGGTACCATCGTGAATCAACAGAAAAAAAAAAAACACCAAAACAATCTATATCTAACACACAAGGGTTTTGTGGAAACACCACTTTGTGAAGTGTGAAGATAACAGTGACTAATCTGTTTTGCCAAAAAGAAAAAAAAAATGTAATCGTGTAACAGTTGCATAAGAATAAAGTGAAAGTTTGGATGTGTTTCTGGGATGCTGCCAGCGGTGCTGCCAGTCAGCTACAGGGCGAAAATAAATCAGTATTCAGTGTAATCGCATGGCAGCGAGGCAACACTCTTGAAAAGGCCACCTGAGTATTTTAGAAAACCACACAGAGGAAAAAGTCATCTTGTTGTGGTTGGAGCTGGTTGTAGAAGACATTCAGAACAAGGGCAGAACCCTGAAAGTTCAGATAAGGGCTGATGATTGATAAAAATGTCAGGTTTTTTTTTCTTTCTTTGAATCACTTCTCTACAGTCTTTGGTTGGTGGACCTGGAGCACGCCTTGATGAAGATAATTGCTGGTGTAGGCTTCAGCAACCAGGTCAAGATTTTCCAGCTCAAGGTCTGGACCTCCTCCTTGGCTGCCAAACCTTCTACAGGAGTAAAATGAAGAAATGATCTTTTTAAAAAAAAAAGATGATTTTGCTTGGAAAATAAATAATCCATATTTTTAAAATAGGTCCAAGAAGTTGCTTCATCAAGTAGTGCCTGAAAAGGACAAATGTATATCAAAAGAGAGTGTTTTATAATCTTTCGGAGTTCGATTCGGTCTCGTCACAGAGGCCTATTGGGACTCAACTACTCTTCCATTGGAATGTAAGATAAGATGGAGTGCTCCTGTGCAATCGCAGCCAGTTCTTTGAGGAACTCCGTGAAGAGGACGGTAGCGAAGACCTCTGTCCGATCCAGAGAGATGGCTTTGGGTTTCGGCGGCGGTGAACTCTGAAGGATCCTTCCCCCGTCGTGGTGGTTGGAGCCTCTGCCGCTGTTTTTCGCTGAGAAAACACAAGGACTGAATAAGTAACAAGGACAAACACATGGATAATCAATACACAGTGCATGTGCCAGTTTCAATTGGAGGCATTTTGTAAATATAATACATTTCTGTTACTCATTTCTCTATTTACAAATCATTTACATCAAAAAGTAGATTCTGCTTTTCTGCAAAAAAAACTGTAAACACATACAAAAGACAGCAATCCACTTTAGGAACTAAAAAATTCCCTTTAAAATTCCCATCCTGGTCTCTCGACTCTCCATAAACATTCCTCCAACAACATTTTTTTTTTTTTTTTGTGGCTTGTACTACTCTGAAACCACAGGGAATCTAGTTCAAAAACATGAGTGAAGCTCCAGGGCGTGAATGAGACCGCTGCTCAGCTGCAAAGATACACGAGTTACAACAACAAAATCAAGGAGAATTTATTCTGGTTCTCAACAGGAGCCAAACACAAGTGATCGTGAATGCAGATGTTGACTTGAATTATTTCTGGCAGCAAATTAGTGAGACTGAGGCAGCGGTGGAAAGGAACTACGTACATTTACTCAAGTACTTTTCTGCTACTTTATACTTCAAGTACATTTCAGAGGCAAATATTGTACTTTTTACTCCACGACATTTTTTTTTGAATAATTTTAGTTACTAGTTAATGAACAGATTTGGATTTCTAATATAAAATACAGTCAACAAATAAGTTATGATGTGTTATTATAGATTAAGCTGAAACTTCATTAATCTCAAAGGGGAAAATTCAAAAGCTAGAAAATAGTTAAATCACCTTTCTTGGTTCATATATTAAAGTGAGGAACACTTGAATAATAACTTTATATATGATGCTATAACCCAACAGTAAAACATATTCTGAAATATGCCATTCTGCATAATGTTTGGTTTACTTTTAGTACTTCAAGTATATTCTGATACATGAAAATGATAGTACTTTTAAGCTTAAGTATGAATTTAAATGACATGTTGATTCTACAACATCTAAGTGCTTCTTCCACCTCAAGATTGAAGACTTAATAACAGTGCTACTCCTAAAATTGCCACTAAAATGCTTCCCAAAATAGAAAAAAAAAACACAAACAAACTGTCTCACACCCATAATTCTCACCCTGAGCTTCTTGAGTCTATATCTGTTTAAAAATCTGACTGTTAGGTTGACTGTAAACACACGACAGCTTAAAGGACGAGCGTTTGGTTATATAACGCTACTGAAATATAAACCAATAGCAGCACGTTAGCTTAGCTTTTAGCATTAAGACTGGTAGCAGGGGGAAGACTGCTAGCACCGTTCTGTCAAAAGCTACTAAAATAATACACCTAGCATCAACTCTAAAGCTTGCTTTTATGTTGTTTTTTTTATTTGTACACAGACAAAATCCCACGTATGTCTTTACACTAAGCTAAGCTAAGCTAAGCTAAGCTAGCTCAACTGATGGCTGTAACTTCATATTTACTTTACGAGATGGGTATCAATCTTCTCGTCTAATTCTTGGCAACAAAGTAAGCTAAATGTCTAACTAGTCATTTTAATTGTTGGCATCATAGGAACTGGTTTTACTCCAGTTTCTTGAGGTTTTCAGTTAAAATTGTGTCGGAATAATTCTAATTTAAGCCAATCAGGTTCAACTGGCGCTTCAATTCCTGGCCACTCCAAGTGCCAAAGCGTCCATGAGCAAGACACTGAACCCCAACGTACTCTAGACCCAAGCTAAGGTGCAGATAATTTGTCACTGATTTTTAAATAATAATATATTTGCCATTTAAATACTTGATTTTTCATACTATTATAGATTTATACAGATTTCAATCAGAAAAAGAAAATTGCTGCCGGGTTGTATTGTCACCTGTTGCCATAAACGTTGCATCCCTCGCCAGTAGCCAGTGTTGGGCGGCAGTGATCAGCTCTGGAAACTCCTTTCTGCTGGCAGCCTGGTCTTCTATCTGGTTCTTCACAGTGGCTAGTACCTGAAAAAAAACAAAAACCACAGAAAAAATACAAAAGATCTCATTTATTTCTGCAGATTTTACATAGTAATTACATTTCAAAGTTCATCCAATGAACTTGTGTTCTCAATTTAAATCTCACTTGTGAAACCACAGCTGCGTATTTGTATTACCTGGTAAAGGGAGCGAACAGTCGGCTGGAAAACCAGGTTGGTGTTCAGGAGGAATGAGCGCAGCAGCGGCTGAGGATAAGCAGCCAACTGGGCCAGGATGCCCGTCAGCAACAGGTTGACATGAAGGGAGTTGGAGAGCATATTCTCCAGACGGGACAACAGCACACTGACAAAAGGCCCTGCAGGAGGAGTAGTAATAAAACATTCTTTTTGTGCTGTTCAGATGTATTTTCTGGTAAATAATAAGACAAGTGCAGAGCCAAGGTTTCCCTCAACTCACCCGTAAAAGGCATCGACTGGTTTCTGCTTGTACTTCCACTGCGAAACCTATTTATTGTCCCAAATGGTGAGTGCACTTTCTCTGGCTCTGGTGTTTCTGCAGAGAAGGAGGTGAAATCCATCTCCTCTTCATCCTCCTCCTCCACTGGTGTGACAGGTTTCTTTACCTCTCCATCAGCTTTGACCTGTTTTCCACCCGCCTCAGTGTCCAACGTACGAATGAGCTCCTCATACTGAGCCAAAAGATCTTCACCCGACCCAGCAGCAGCCGTGTTTTGGAGGTTGGCGTTACAATCCTTCTGCCCCTTGGCCTTTGTGTCCACGCTGTTCTTGGCGTTGTCAGCCATCACAGAGGTTGGAAGCGTTGGACTGAGCCCGTTTTTCGGGGAGACTTCTGCTGAGCCTGGCTGGGTCTCCTCTGATTGTGAACCACTGGGTTTGCGTTTTGCCTGGTCGGCGCCACTGGTGTCTTTCTTTGCAACGAGATCGTACACCATGACGTCATCCTGGAACTCATTTTCCTCAATGTATGAGCCTTTAACCAACATGATGGCTGTTCTCCTCATCTCCTGGATGTGCTTTGGGGGCTCAGCAGGAGGCGGCTGTGCAGGTTTAGTCTCCATGGGAGCCTCGGCGGTCTGCACCGGGCACGCATCGTAACTATCGTCCCACTCCAGCTCCAGCTGGGGGACGGAGGGCGGCTCTGTACTCGGGGGCAGGGAGGGTCGAGGGTGCGGCACCAGGGGCTTCAGGACTCTCTTGGGAGCCACCTGGGTTTGGCGACTCTTCAGCAGCGGCTCCTCCAGGACGCCCGGCTGGTATTTCTCAGGAGGCGGCTCCTCGCCGTCGTATGGGGCTGACCAAACCTGGCAGGCCCGAATGCAGCTGCTGATGCTGAGACGGGCGTCGTAGAGGTAATGAAGATAGCTGACATCAAGGTAGATTTCTGAACCGATGGTGCAGGAGTTCCCTGAGCCATCATCCTCTTCTGAGAAGCTCTTTTTTTCCTCTGGTAAAAAAAAAAAAACAGATAAGAAATGTTGATAAAAGCCGGCGTGCAGAGCCTCCGCTCAGCGCTCACACAGAGCAGAACTAATGAGTTTGACATGTAACTACAGGGGGTAAAGTGATGTAATGCAGCGAAACAGCAGGAGATCTCACTATCTGATAAAATACAATCATCCCTGTTATATGTTCACGTTCCAATTAAATGCAGATCAACATCTTACAGCGCGCCATATGTCTGAACAGATTTTGTAAATGTAACTTTAATAAATTATTCCTTTTATTTTCATACTTTCGCTTTAGTTCTTCCAACGTGCGCAGAAAACGATTTTCCATTTCCCTCCATTTGTTCTGTTTGTTTTGACAGCGTATAAGTCACGACTGCTACTGAGGTTATAACATCCACTCACTCAGACAGCGTTATGAATAGTCAACTGTGCTCGATTATTCTCCTTGCGTCTGATTTGAAAGCAACAAAAACATCCATAAAAGCTGGCTGCGAATGTGGCCGATAAGCAGTCATTCATTTATAACTCATCTGTAGCACATACAGTACTTAAATGCTCAAATAATGCACAAGGACAGCCCAGTAGTGTGGATATGTGCTGGCTTTAACAGGGTTAGGGGGCGATTTTCTGACTCACTACTTACAATACTTACCCAGTCAATTCAATTTAAGTAATAATTAGCTGTACTACATTCAGCTAGAAGGACAATTCCATTTTTTTTTTTACAACTTGAATCTTTTTTTTTGCTATTCTGGGCATAATTCCTGTCTGTATAAACATTCTCATACTCAGAGAATTAATTGCTGAGAATATGGCAGCATTACAAAAAAAAATAATAAATTCAGACAGGGCAAGACACCAAGCTAGTTAACAGAATTTAAACAAACTTCCAGGTTAGCCAAACTCACAGAACTCGGAAGAGACAACAAAAGTCAACTTATTAAAAGCAAACTTCTAGATTCATCACCAGTGTAGCAATGTCATGGTGCATAAGGGAAACTGTTATCACAACCCAACAAAAACTGCAAAAAAACAAGACCCAAATTGTACTTAATCAGCCAATATTTTTCCTTTCATGTCCTCTCCTTGTTACCTGTGTTGTCGCCACTGCCGGGAGTCTCTCCACCTTTGGAAAAGAGGATGGATTCCAGCTGTCGGAGGGGCGGGGGGCTGCGGTCAGGAGAGCAGCAGGACGGCGTTAACGCCAGGATCTTGGCCGCCGATACCGAGTAGCAGTCCCTCTCCCTCACTACGCGTCTCTGACTCAGCATCATGTGGTTGCAGGGGATCAGGTACCTGGAGAGGCAGGTGGGACGGGATGTTAGGAGAACCGACGGGCGGTCGTGGGAGGAGGACAGGGAGGAGGGGGGGTGAGGCGACAGATGGTGACAGCGGGAGGCGGTGAGTAAAAGCTCATGGTCGTAAACCAATTAGATGCACCGCGCCTCATAAGTGGGAGAAGTCAGCGTGTGTGCCACTCACCTCAGTACGAGCTGCAGCATCACATCTTCACAGTATAAGCCAATGAGAGTGCGGAAAAGTGCCAGTGACACGGTGCCCAACTGGAGGGTTCGATGGAAAGACACAAAGAGACACATTAAATCTAATGAGGACCAAACAGTTTGTTTTTACAAAACAGTGCTCAAGTGATCAGAAATTGCAAAACTGCATTACAGTTTTCATAATCAGGTGATTGTTTAATTTAATATATGAGGAGAAAGTAGAAGAATTCACAGCACTCTCTGGTCTGAACTTCTCAAATGTCAATATGTTTGAATTGTTCTGCAAGTTTACTTTAATTAGTTGGACAACATGTCTGAAAACTGACGCTCCATTTGTGAGATAAAGCTGGAAAAAGCAAAGATGTTGAAATCAGTGTTGTCTGCAGCCATGCTAGAGTCAGGCTGTCCTGGATAAACGCTGCACGATGACGATGTTGTTATTTAATATATTTATAGCAGTTTTCAGATAAAGAGTTTTTTGTCCTTAAGATCCTGCATTGCACCAAAATTAATAATGCACTGTAATAATCAAAAATATCCCCGTTAACATTTAGTAAAACAAAAAAAAAAAACATTAAAAATTGTATTTTGTTTTGTTTATTCCATAAAAAACAACAGTGGCATGATGTTATCCAACTGATATTTAAAAGGGAATCGTGAAAATGAATGAATGATTGGTCGTTTGATCAGGACTGGTGACAGCTATCACTGTCATTAGTTTGGTAGCTGATATTGCTTGGCTCGGTGCTCATATGTGCAGCAGCAGCTTTAGAAAAAGTCAGACCATTAAGCCCTGAAGACTCATCCTTTGGGGACCATGATTGCTGGAAATCTGGACCAAAAATTTGGACCCAAGTGAATGACTGAGTTTGTCGTCCCCATGACAACACTGATAACGACCAGACATTATTAAGTGGTCTTTTTTTAACTTATTTATATGAATATGAATATGTTCTTTTCTGTTTTTGACAGGTGTGTCACAGCGGACACTTACACAATCAAACAGCATTGTAAAAAAAAGTATTTGTTCATCTTAATGACTCAGCCCTACTGAAATATTTGAGCAAGATATCTGATCATATACTGTTTTAAAGCAACGACATGACAACAGGATGAATCACTGCCACTGATCATCACCATGGCAACAATGTGCCAACTTTGGGCCTGACATTTAAAGTTTAAACCACGAGTCCCAGAGCTTCAGGGGTCATTTTTAAATCTATGAAACCTGTTCCTGCATCATTAAACATGACTCATCCTGTGCTGTGTGAGCATCATGTGTGTGTTTTTAAGACAAAAGCTGTGTTTCCTAGTTGTGTGTACCTGGAAAGGCGTGTTGATGCGGCTGACCAGAGTGTCTAAGATGTGGACGCTCTCGTGTCGGTGGAGGAGGATGAAGGAGAGGAAGGTCTGCAGCAGGGCTGGCTCGGAGACACTCCTCAGGAAGAGGTCGAGGTACGCTGTGGTTGTCATCACCTCCTCGAGGGTGAGCTTCACACAGGTAGGAATGAGTCAGCAGTGAGTGTGTGTCACTTATAAAACAGATTAAAGCATCCCAGCCAACTACAATTGCATATATTTTTATTCATGTCTCATCCAGACACGCGTCATATTTTCCTTTTTGTTCTGTGTTTTTTACACACCATCTCCTGTAATTTAGAAATAGACTAATGCTGTCCAGAATAAGTATAGTTACTGGGGAGAATGGCAAGTATTTTATGTGGTATATGTACATTTATATATATATTACATTAGGTAAAAGACAACATGAAATGAGAATGCCAACCTTGTGGAGTGCTGGTGCGAGGACAGGCACAAGGAAACCGTTGTAGATGTAACTGACCAGCTGGTCTCTGATATCCGGGTGCGCCACCTGGGAACAGTCAATGTCAAGAGACAGTGCAGTGAGTCAGAAGGTCACAGCTATTTACCACATGTGAATAGACATTTTCACCAGGCGGAGGCTCGTGCGCTCAGCCCCGGCACACGTGTTTACCTGAATAACAGCGTTGCAGAATTCCAGCGAGTTGAGAAACTGGACGAGCGAAGGCATCCGGAGCCAGTCCTCTCTGTGCAGGCAGTGCCACTCTTCACTGTGAACCTCCAGCTTAGTGGGCAGAGATGAATACAAGCCGCTCAACCCTGTGGCCAGCACCTGAGGCAGAGTGGAGAGGCAGCATTAATTGACTGTTGTTACAGATTATATTTATAATAATGGTCAATTTCACTGATTTTCTAATAGTAAGACGCAGCATGTCAATACGAAGCTATTTTTATCCACGCTTTGGTGATTCCTGACTTTTCCTCCTGCAGCTTATTGAAAAAAGTCAACAGCTGCACACATGTATCAGCTCAGCACTCTTACTGGTACACTGGAATGGAGACAGTTGCATTTTCCAGATGGGGAGGCAACTTGAAGGAAGCCTTCTGAACTGTAAAGTATACTGTGTAAGTAAATTAGAGATTCATAACTTTTGGAGTGAATGAGGACCTGGATCTCAGGGTCTTCTTGTAAAGTATCCTGTCAGACTAATCTGCCTCTAAATCCTAAAATATGTTCCAATAAAAAGAACATTTTTCCATAAAAATGCTTTTCTGTCAATATACACTGAACAAAAATATAAACACAACACTTTTGTTTTTGCTCCCATTTTTCATGAGCTGAACTCAAAGATGTGAAACTTTTTCTATGTACACAAAAGGCCTATTTCTCTCAAATATTGCTCACAAATTTGTCTAAATCTGCGTTAGCGAGCACTTCTCTTTTACCGAGGTAATCCATCCACCTCACTGGTGTGGCAGATCAAGATGCTGATTAGACAGCATGATTATTGCACAGGTGTGTCTTCGGCTGACCACAGTAAAAGGCCACTCTAAAATGTCCAGTTGTATCACACAGCACAATGCCACAGATGTCGCAAGTTTTGAGGGAGCGTGTAATTGGCATGCTGACTATAGGAATGTTCACCAGAGCTGTTGCCTGTGAATTGAATGTTCATTTCTCTACCATAAGCTGTCTCCAAAGGTGTTTCAAAAAATTTAGCAGGACATCCAACCGGCCTCACAACCACGTGTAACCACACCTTTATGGTTTGTATGTATTTGGATATGACACTCCCACCATCCTCAGCTGTACTTTGTGTTTCAAGCTAATTTGCAAAATTTCAGCATGCTCACTTGCTAAACTCAGACAGCAAAGACGATAAATGTTAACATCAGCATGCAGGAATCGTCGGGGCGAGCTTGTTACCACGCTGACATTTAGCTCAGAGGACTGCTGTGAATAAGAGCAGCCTCTCAGAGCTGCTGGCGTTGCTGTAGACTTAGAAAATTTGTCTTTTTAAATTAATTTGCAGGTAATTAAAGACCAAATAAAACAGACAAGAGAGTAGGTGTAACAGTTTGCAGAGGAGGTGCTCTTTTTTGGACTAATCCCAAATACAGCAGTTGTCCTGTAGGACCATTGGCATCATGTAATATATACTGACTATTGAAAATCATTTAACATAAATTAATCACAGACAGAATATTATGGGCATCGTTAAATGTTCATGAGGCAGTGTACCATATGACCCACACGATCTTCTGTATATACAGCTTATCTGCTGTCAGTTTTACCTTTTGCTTCAGCAGATTTATGACAGTGTTTTACTGCTCACTACAAAGCAAAATCCTGCTGTAAATCCTGTCCTGCTCTCTACCTTTTGATAATGTAATGCAGATATAAGCTCAGTGAGCGCTGCAGCAGCCTACATATCAGCCCGGTTGTCCTCACACGGCATACTTATGGATTTATGCCTCCTACAGGTCGAGCTCCGAGACCTTTATGAATATTTGAGCAGTAAAGCGTTCTGCAATAATGACCACGTTATAGCAGTACAGTCACTTGTCAACATAAGATTCAGTCTTTTCTTTGTCAAGTAGTTTCTACAGTGTAGGACTTCAAACAACAATCGAGCCGCAGTCTCATTTAACTGTAGGATGAGTGCTTCATTAGTGTTGTAGTAATGTATACATCCTCTATAGGATTATCCCACTGTGCCCTCCCTGTGGATGCCAATGGAACCAATTAAATCCAGACTCTTGTTGTTCAACTGGCATCACATCAAAACCCATTCTTCACGACGCCGTCTGCAGCTGCGGGTGAATTGCATTATTTACATGGGATTAGCTTACAACCGTGCTGTAATCTTATGAATCCAAGACATTTGTAACATTCAACGCCAGATCTTTTAACCTTGTTTTAAGTGGGCTCATGAATTTGTCTGTATATTTTGGACTGATTATTCCACCCAGGGTCTCAGACCTGCCAGAAAATAATAATAATGCAGCTGACTGAGGGGGATGATTAAGGATAGAACAACTCTTTTTACATTGAACTGCTAATAAATTAGAAGAGAGAAGAAAAGTCAGGGGGATAATTACAGACACAAAATACAACAAGGCAATAAAAGCAAGACAAGGAGAAAAGTGCAAGTAGTTTTTCACTGAGGACTGACCGGACAGAAGTAGGTGTTCACTGCGATGTGTTTGGCCACTCGTTCGTTCTCAGCAGACAACGACATAATAAGCAGCAAGGCATCTCTGGCCTGCTGGCCCACTGTGCCCTCCCTGTGAATGAAGGGGATGAGCAGGGAGAAGATGAGGAAGTTGGTGGCTCCCTGATCCTCGCTGGTGTGGAAGAACAGCTCCAGAATCGACGGGTCCTTTGCCAGAACGCAGCACAGCTGGTTGAGCAGCAGCACCAGCTCAGCTTCCACCGCAGGAGCCGCAGTCCCCGAACAGGAGGACAGCAGCATCATGAGCGGCCGCAGGATGGGCTTGTGATGCAGCAGAGGCTGCTGCGCCTGGCCCACCAGCATCTCATACATCTTCAGCTGCTCCAGCTTCATGTCGTCCGTGAACTCCCGGCGGAGGCTCCACACAAACAGGCGCTCCATCACGTTCTCCATCACCACAAACTCCAGGATGGGGCCCATGGCTCCTGCCTGCCCGCTCTCCTCCTCCATCAGCAGGAAGAGCATGTGCTCCACATAGTTCTGCACCGCATTCACCTCGTCTACGGAGATGGAGCCGAAACGAGAGCTGCTGCCAGAGCCGGCGCTGAGGTTGATGACACCCAGGGACGGTAGGGTGGAACTGGTGCGCAGGGGATCATGCTTTTCTAGGACCTTCACCACCTACAGTAGGAGACACACAGAAATAAAACTTTAAAACACTGTATAAGCATTCTGTGTTTAATGTTGATGTAAAGACCTCCAACTACAAAATTAGTTGAGTTCATGAGCTGAGATGTTTCAGCAACATCACAATTATATCAGACAAATACCAGATACCAGAGAATTAGAGTTAAACAATCAAGATTTGCTCAGAGATTAATCTTCAGTTACATATATATATATCATATATACATAATGGTTCTTTCTCTTTTAAATCTGTATATTCAGTCAATGCAGTGGTTAATATGAATGAGAACCTGCTCCACTGACTACAGGTTCATACATTTTTTGTGGTGCTGTAATTTGCTGGAATGACACTTAATGGACACTGATGGCTGCACGTAAATGCACTGATCATGATTTCATTTTATCCTTATTAAACTTTAGTTCTAAACAGAAGAAGCAAATGAATATTACAAAAGTCTGGGTGGACTGGGACACATCTTTGCAGTGAGCCACATAAATCCATTTTATATATGAGAAGCACTGCTGCAGAGTATTGATGTCACACTGCTGAACAATCCTAATGGTTGCCATGACCACTGATAATAACACTCTAAAACACAAAGGTGAACACAAACTCAATAAACGAAATCCAAGAAAGTTAAATTATTGCCTGCAGAGAAGTAGAATTAACCTCCACCATCAACACTTTATCCTACTAAACGTGTATGTGAAATCTTATTATAGATAACATATGAATTTCTAAGTTGTGGCCACAAGTGTGATTTGTGAAGTCTCGGTCACCTTGAAATTTGAGCTTTGACTACCAAAAATCTAATCAGTTCACCCCTGAGTCACAGTGACTGTTTGTGCCAAGTTGAGAGAACATCCCTCCAGGCGCTCAAGAGATGTTGTGTTCATGACAATGAGACAGATGGACAGACAAACCAAAAACACAACGCCTCCGGACTCTGCTGTCGATGGCACAGAGGCATCAAATGTGCAAAAACAAGTTAACAAAAGAATCCTTCCTTTCACTCAGCATAAAATATGTACTATACTGTGGACACGTAGTACAAGTTCATTTACACACAATGCTCATGAATCACATCAAAATATGGCCTAAACAAATCCAATCCCTCCTCTCTCTCTGGCAGGTTAACTGTCAACAGAAATGAGGTGTAAATAAACCGGCAACACAGTACAGATAAACTCAGTTTGGTAGCGCAGACTGAAACACTCCTTTGTGTATTCAGTGCTTCCCATGTGTGTCCGCTGTGTAGAAACCAGTGTCACAATAATGGAGCCAGTGTCCCCAGCCTGCCGCTGCTGCCATGACAATAACTGGCTGTGTATGAGAGAGCCGGGCATGGAAACAAGAGAACAGAGTTTGTAATCCCAGCCTGAGCCTGATGGGGTTTGGCCCAGCGGTCTGAGCCTCAAGGGATCAGTCTGGATCAGGCTTCTCTGCCATTACCAAAGTGACAGGAACAGGACCATTTCAATAAGGATTTTACTTACTGGACATGTGGAGGAATGGCATTCAGGTGTAATATAGGCGATATGAAAGACTGGGGGCTGAGGTTAATTAAACTACGATGCACTGACTTTCATTTGCATTGCTGCTGGTATGCAGGTGTCACAGTGCTGAACAGGGAGCTTGTAGTCTGGATCCATCTGTATTATTTGAGTCATACAGAAAAACTCATTGGGACAAATGTGACCAAGAACTGGACTCCAGCTGATGAAGAATAAAAGTTTAAAGATTTCATTTTTAGTTCCCCGACGAGTTCTACAGAAGGGATTAATTGTGGGTGTTGGCACAACAATACGTGGAGCAAGAGTGGTTGGTAAGATGAAAGTTGGGTCAAATTACAAGTGTTTGTGCTGATCTGAAGAAATGCACTTGAGTGAGTTGGAACATTTATGGTTTATGGCTCTGACCTTTACAATAAAAGTTGGGTTTAAACAGTGTTGGAATTCCCTCAAGTGACCCACGTGTATATTCAAATGTGCCACTGTGATATTTTAAATCAGAAAAATGTTTCCTACCATGACATTTTCAATCTACTTCTCCCACAACCTTTTAGGTTTTTGTTTTTTTTTTGTTTATTTGTTGACAGGAATTGTCCCCTTGGCGTCGCCAGGATAAAATAAAGTTGACTCCGGAAAGATATGCATGTTTTTAGGCTCTGATATTATTGAAATGTTCTACTTCTAATCACCAAACTTTAATGTTTTGTAGTTAATGGACCTAGAGTAGCTGGATTCACTGCTGAAGAAGCCTTGAGAAACATTCTTAATGCCCAAAGTGACCATGAAAACAGCTCAATTCCAGGAGATGAGTCACATGCCTGAGATGTCAGACCATTCTGATACACAATCTGTCCCTCCCATCGTAGTGGTTCCTCAAGGAGGTGATCCAGATGTGATTGCTTCTATATACACTATGACAACAGCACTAGTGGTGACCAGCAAAAGCCAGACATCATACTGCATTATTATAACTCCAAATGAGGTGTGGGCAAGCTTGGCAATGCTGCACACCTCTCAACACAACACTAACAGATGGCCAACGGTTCTATTCTTCAACATGTTAAGATATTGCAGGAATCACTGCCGTCGTCATCTGGCTTTGAAACTTTCCCAATTGGAAATCTTCGCAAGGCAGCTGCAAGCACTATGTCTTCCTCAGAGAGCTCGGGTATGAAGTGGTCAAGCTACATATAGAGAGAAGGTCAAAGGTTGTAAATCACCTGTCAGTCGATAGAAACGGGATGGCACGCATTCGTGTGAGACCTGCATGACCTGCAGAGCAGCCTGGAGTTACTGAAGTACCTGGCAAATGCAAATAGAGCTTGTTTTGCCCACATAGCACTGACAGGAAAGCTTCAGTGTGTGTTCAACCTGCAACAAGGCAGTTTGTCTAGAACACAGTCACAAACAAGTTGTACGTGAAGTCTGTGTTTGACAAAGCAAAGCAATCAAGCATGAACTTCACTGCTGTAGCTTTATTGTCATTACTTGGCATTTGTTCCATAATTAGGCATCTTATTTTAAATATTAGACCTCTACAAACAAGTAACAAAGAAGGAAAAACCACCCTGACAAAGGTGATTTCAAAGTATTACGAACTCACCAGTTTATCCACGTTTTACTGTCAAAATGATTGAGCAGTTTTTGCCCCCTCCTTACAACCTCCAGTGTGGTGCCTTTAGCCTCCACAAAGCTGCTCCGACTGAGCCAACAGATCCGACTGTGGCTTTTACAGAGCAGCATCTGGATGTGTGTAAATCTGAGCGAGAGCAGGGGGAGAGTAGTGCTCTCAGTAAATTGTTCCAGAAAAAATAAATGTGAAAAATGACCTCTTTAAGTAGAAGCAGCACCATAAAAGTCCACATAAAAAACATAATATCTATGAATTTTGATGTATGATGACAATTTAGAACTTTGCATATAACAGAAAAACACATCAGGATGTTGAAATTAAAAAATAAATGTTTATATAATTCTTACAAATCTGTGACTTTAGTCTGCCTTCAATGTACAAAGCCTGGATGTGTTTGGACACATATATTAGGTCTTTTTAATACTAGACATGTTTTGTCAAGATTCCAGCAGTGCTCTGAATTGCTCATTTTAATGTGTTTACATTGCAAACTGTCCCAAATATAAATGGGATGAAACGATTGAATACAAGCAAGTTAGTTGTCTTCCCACACTTGTATGTCTGCGCTTTTATTTTAATTACAAATGTCCAAAAAGCAAATGTTAAAGAGGAGCAGGAACAAACCTTCTGTTTACCATTAGTCTGACTCAGCTACTCTTTTTGGTTTGATGATGGAAAATTAAAGCCAATACGGAAATGTTTCCTCTTAAATGTCACAAGCCAGTGAACGGAACCAGATTCATTAAACTGAAAGACTTATTTGGGGAGGGGGTCACGTGGCATTCACTATGAATGGGATGAATCAGTAACTCTGAGAGTCATAGTAATCGACAACACACTGTCCACACCACACACGCTACAGCTGAAGATTGTTGGCAGCAACTGACAGATCACTGAGTGTGTCACAACAAACACAATGAGCTCTGTGAGGCCTGGAGAGCAGCAGATAAGACCCAGCAAATGAACGTAAACCTAATCTTCCAACTCCGAAACAGGCAGAGCTTCTTACAGAAGGACGAGGCCAATATTACTTACAATGTGTTACTCTGATTTCAAGGTTTTCCAAACTGAAACCAAAGTCAAGAGCACTCTTATCACGCTACAGATTAACTAAGCATGGAAATAAGACTCTGCAGGAGTGGAACTGTGCTGCCAGTTTGCCTCAAGCTAAACAAGCTTTAATGTGGAACAGGGAGTTCTCCTCATTTTTTCTGTTCATAGACAGTAGCCGGGACCAGTCAGCCCTGATATTTTTGATTACAACAACTTCTGTCCCACTTTGACGGGAAAAAGTAAAAACCAAGCATTTTGGTTGCTCTTTTTATGTCACTGTTACAATTCAAACTATTGTCTATTTCAAACCAACAGAGGCTTAAAAACCAAAATAACAACTTTTATAATTAGACTGTGGAAGAAAAATAAACCCCCAAAAAATTAAATGTTCATGCAAAAACTATAAACTCATGTGACAAAAGAATGCATAGTCATTAAATGCATCTCAATTGAGTAATTCACATGTTCCAACTTAAAGAACTAATCAAACTAGAGTGACAAAAAACTCTCTGCTTGCTGGAACTTAATCAGTGTTTGGTTCTTGGTTTCATAATTGGTTGTCAAACTATTCTAGTCTAGGATAAACAATGAACATCCACCATCCAACAGGATCCATCACTGATTCGCCTTTCGCTCTGTTTTTGGTCTCAACCAACTATCAAGGAAAACCTCCCTGTATAAAGTTTCTAATGCTAATACAGCACATCGGTGCAGCGCCTCTTCCCACACTCAGTCTAAAATGCTCCGTTTTAGTTCCTGCCTCTTGTAGTGAAATAACAGTGAGCCGTGGCAAAGCTGCTGATTCTTACTTTGAGAGCAGGTCAAACTGTCTGGTAAGCAGGTGTGATGTAAATGTATTACATGGTGATGAAAATAAGTAACAGAATGAAAAATCAGGAGTTTAAACAAGACATTTCAGGCTGCTAAAGGTAGAGAGAATAACGTCCTTTAACGTGGAGTTTGGGCTTTTTGAGTTTGTGAACCTTTGATGTGCGCAACAAAGCTGTAGAACAAAATAAAGGAAAGGGAAACATAATATAATAAGAATTTAATAACTATGCTGACAACTGCAACAGTTTCTTATTGACTACATAAACAGTTCCACACTTTAGGGAACATTAAAAAAAAATTGGAATAGCAATTTGGATATGATACCATTTCTCTATTATCTCATGAACAGTGTTAAAATTACAACTATTTCTCCTTCCTGGAATCTAAAACCATAATCCTGCAAAGTATAGCTGCTCGACACAACACGTCTTCTGCTTCATTGTCATTGTATTGTGTTCTAAAAGCTTCCATGTCAGTCTTGTTTAAGTTGCATATTGGATCACGTGGCTTTAGAATTAACTCACAAATCACGCTCAGATGTACATATCTGCACTTTTTAAGAAGAGACAGGGACTTACAAGAAGAACTGGAAAGTTTCCCCTCTAGTGTCAAACTAAAACACATACATCATCATATACTGAAGGTCAAACATCCAAGTGAAACATTTCTGAGTGGAGCTGGACTATGAAAGGCTTAGAGCAAAGTATGCACAGGCACCTAGAACAGCACTGCTTTCAACTAAATCACACAACTAATCCCTGCGAGCTCCCCCGCTGTTCAGGTTAATGAAACCACAGTGGAATTCTGCTTAATTTAGACGGACTCCGGGTCAGACCCCACACTGACAACCACCACCGTAGATATAAACGGTGACGACACTCAGTCACCGGCGCGCCGCTCTACGCCTGGACAGTGTCGCGTTTATGTCTGTGCGTGTGGAGTTTGTTCATGTCAGTGTGGGAGGAGCGGGATTAGCAGGCTGCCGGGTCCCACCGGGGTGAACAGGGACACAAGCTGCCGCAAAGAGCCAAGAGTCTGAGACATTCGGCTTCACGCTGCCAAGATTCCACTGGCCCTGACCACACTGCAGTTTACTGTTGTAGGGACGGCGCAGGAGTCAGTTTTATTTTTTTGCTGTCAGCGTTTGAGGCAAAAGTGAAGTAGAGCGTGTCTTTATGAACAAACTTGTGCTGACTGCGTTTGTGGATGCAGGTTTAATATATCTTGGACATGGTTCAAAGCCCTATCTGAACTATCGAGTGGTTGCAAAATAAACATGGGAAGTAATTACATGATTACCTGGACTGGAAAGAAGAAATTACAACATGAAATAATATTAAATGTTTAGCTTCTGCTTGCTTCTTGTGATAGTTCTATGTAAAGTGTGGAACCTACTCAGCATGGTTCTGGAAAATAAGCTTGTTTACATTCATGCCAAGACCTACATGAGAAGATTAACACTGCTTTTATGTCTGTGCATTAAGCTGGAGAATAAAGGTGATTAGCTTAGCTTAGCATTATGACTGCACACAGCTAGCCCCGCGCTGGCTTAAGTCCAAACATACCACTACAAACTGTAAAGTCCCCATAATAAACACTCTGCATCTCATTAGTTTAATCTGCATTAAACAGAAGTGTAAAAAGTTATTTGTTTTCTGCGGAGTTACATTTAACTCAAAGTTGTCATCCAAGTGCTAAAAAATACAACAGGTGCATCCCAATACCTATACTACCAACTATTTAGTGTGCCAGAAAAAGTTTATTATGTCTACTACATGCTATGTTTAATGCAACTGCATCCAGTCTCACTTTGCAGTTTGCAAACCAACCCACAATCCATGCACAACATAAGATACGTCACATTCACTGAGTCGTCTCACACGAGTATAAACAAGCTTGAGCCACAGACAGCGCACAGACAGATGACAGCTCATTTTGCACAACCGACTGCGATGGATAGATGGTCAAGGTTTAAAGTGCAACAGTAAGATGATTATGTCCCAGTTGTATGCACATTGTTTGCAAGAGTGTGTACTTTCTAAGGGTAGCTGCAGTACTGCTGCTGGAATGCAGCCTAAATAAACTGTTAATAATCAAGTCCCTTCCCACAACATGTCATTTTAGATTTTTATGTGTGTGCAGATTAAACAAACGAATTCATTGGCTAGCTGTAGAGCCACTGACAGGTATACTGTTTCAACTCAGAGAACCAGGGAAGCTGTTTCACCTCGCTTCTAGTCTTTATGCTCTACTAAGCTAATTGCCACATAGCTTTAAATACTTAACCAACTAAGGTTCTATACCTAATGAACATTCATGGCAGTAGCATCAATCCTCACGTCTAACATCTAGCACAAAACTGAATAAGCTGTGAAAAAAAATTCCAAAAATGTCCAATTGCTTATTTACAGGGTGTCAGATTTTGTCCCTTTTCAACAAATTACTCAAAGTCTCATATGTCCCCACAGTGTGTCTTTCAGTTCTTCAGCTCAAAATACTGCCAAGATGGTTCATTTCACCATGGCTGTGTAACCCTGGTCTGTTTTGCTCTGCAAACCAATGGATTGTTCCGGCCTCCCTCTGGAAGAACTCCGTTTGCTTATGTGACTGACAGCTCCGACTGTCAGATGAATGGAGGAAGTAAATGTCTTCATATCTTCACAACTTTCATTTTACACCTACAAGTTTATAAAAACGGGCTGCAAGATGGCGCAGTTGGTAGCACTGTCACCTTGCAGCAACAAGGTCGCCAGTTCGTGTCTCAGTGGGGGCCCCGGGATCTTGCTGCGTGGAGTTTGCATGTTCTCTCCGTGCTGCGTGGGTTCTCTCTGGGTTCTCCAGCTTCCTCCCACACAGTCCAAAAACATGTTGAGGATAACTGGTGATTCTAAATTGTCCATAGGTGTGAATGTGAGTGTGCTTGGTTGTCTGTCTCTAAGTGTAGCCCTGTGATAGACTGGTGACCTGTCCAGGGTGTCCCCCGCCCAAAGTCAGCTGAGATAGACTCCAGCCCCCCGTGACCTTAGTGAGGATTTAGTGTTGTATAGACAATGGATGGATGGATGGAAGTTTATAAAAAATACAATAAACAAACAACAAAAAAAGGATTTTTACAGTATGAGACCTTTAAGCTGTGGAAGTGTTGATGTGGTGTTTACCTGAGCCCAGTGGTTCTTGAAAACAATCATGCAGGTCTCTGGGTCCACCCCTTTCAACACCAGAGACTGCTCGTCTCGGTTTCCATTGGCAACCATAGAGGCCATCATGGTGACCGGATCACTCGTGGGTTAAACCATGTCATAGGCAGGAGACGGTGGAGGACATTCCTGACTGCTTACTGGGTGCAACCATCAGCACAGACAGAGGAGTAATCACACAGGACCTGAGGAGTCAGAAAAAGAAGGCAGAAGCAGCATGTCATCATACACAGAACCACAAAAGGTTGCTTCATAAAAATCACAGCACAGATGCAGCGATATGATTATTGCAAACTGCGCTGCCTCTCTGCCTCTGCTTGGCCAGGCAGCAGCTATGACAGGCATGCAGCAGAGAACAATAGCAGGCGAAGTCAGATGATTCAGTAGCGGAGAGAAAGAGACGCATCATGCTCCACTTCAGAGCAGCCTGTCGCACTCTGGACTTCAGACTGAGCTGTCAAATTGCTGCTGGAATACCTCGGACGCCCACAGTGGATTCCTGCAGCCCCCTGACATCACTCCCATTACTGAAACATTTTTTGACATCAGACGGCGAATGGCAACTGGGTGTGAACTGCTTTGGCTGAGTGTTGGGAGCGAGGAGGGGGAAGAGAAGGAAGAGTTTTGTAGATCAGACATGATTTGGGTATGTGCTGCTTTTATTTCTGGATGAGAGCGATTACATTTACAACATCTTTAGGCAAGCAAAGTCTGCATCGTTTATATTGCTTGATTTGATGAAAAAAAAAATATGCTATTGCAGTTGAAAATAGCCTGAGGGCAGCTTCGCAGAGCAGTTCCAACACTCACACTGGCACCATGGAAATTTGGAGGATGCCCACTTTTTCCCCAGAAAGGAACTAATTTGTTGTTTCCCTTGGAGAGGACTGGAAAGATTGATTCTGCCAAAACAACACAGCGAACAGGGGGAGTGTAGTGCTGTATAAAACAGGAACATACACTATGAGCTGCTATGGAGCTAAAACAATATAAAGGACAAGTCACTGCTACACTTTGCATGTTTCCAGACACTTCAAGAGAGAGGATGTCAGGATGTGACTTAACTCCTGATGTTTCCTGTGTTTGCAGACAGTGGATGCGACAGTATGTATGAAAATCTGTTATTTTCACAAATGACACACGACACCAGGAGACAGGAGACAATACTGAGCACTAGGGCTGAGCACTTTATCAAAATCACACTACGGCAATTGCTGCAATTTTTTGATAAAAGTTAAAATGTGTAGCAACATACTAGTTTAAATGAAGCATTGTGGTGCTATACAGGTGCTCCAGCATATAAATGTATTATTCAGAAAAGAAAACAAATCACAGTTATCATTTTTATGTGAAATTTAACCCCATTCCAACCAAAATTGTGACTAAATATCACAGTTGCAATATAATTTTGCATATCATTCAGCCCTACTGACTACAAATCATTACAAGTACACATGATTAAAACTAATACATAGTGCAAAAACTATTTCAAATAAATAAATGTTTACAGTTTGTGGTTGTCGTTCTACCACAGAAGCAGCGTAAACTCTGCTTAATTAAAATTCAAACTGATACAGACACAAAGAGTTCTTCAGCCGATTCAGTTTACATCATGAAACTCTTTTAGCACCTGTCCATAGCAGCTCATACTCAGAGTACAGAGCATGAGATGTCGTCTGTATGTGTAAGTAAGGCACTGGTCAAAAGGTAACTCAAGGTAAAATGATCATTCTGACCAGTTTTCTTCCTTGCAGTCTGAACCAAATGCATTTGATAATTAATCGTTGATCATTTTACTTCTATATGAATTCTCCAAAGACTAAAAAATAAAAATAAACAGTCTACTAGTGTGTACAGTCATGGCACAGCAGTGCTTTGAGCTTCAAATCCATTTTAGTGGACAAATAGAAACACAGACTGCAACTACAGGAAATGATGAATCAGTTAATGAAACTTGTTTTGAAACGCTAAACAGTCTGAGGTGATACTTGAGCACTGCAGTACATTGAGTTAAATGTCATCAGTAGGCCTATGCTAACATTCATGCAATGACAATGCTGATATGACAGTGTTAAGGAGATGTAAGGTTTACAATGTTCACCCTTCTCGCAACTTAGGGGGGTTTCCTCTTCCAGCATGGACACACATTCAGATATATCGTAGATATCGAATAGAAGTGGACATATGTTTTTTTTTACCTGATCATGGCACCAAAGAAATAATCAAAAAATTACATTATTTTAAATCATGATGCTGGTAACAGAAATGTATGAACTGAACAGAGCAACAATGACTAATGGATTAACCTTTCAACTGAACATTAGTCGTCTTCACTCCTTTATGACAGTGAACTGAATCACTTTGGGTTGTGGACATAAGAAGACAAAACTTGGGAAATACTGACCAGCAGGTTTCATTCTCTGACATTTTAAGGACTAAATAACTAATCAACTAATCAAGAAAATATCTTACAGATTAAATGAAAGTGAAACCATGTGAAAACATTAGCCGCAGCCCTTGTAAATTTGACAGCAATCTATCCAACAATTCTTGACATATTTCCCTCAAAAACTGCACATGTCGATCTGGTGGTGGTGGTGGATCTTCAGGATTCATCATCTGGGAACCACACACAAGTGTTATGACAGTCCATCCAGCTGTTGTTGACATATGTCAGTCTGAACCCAACTGCCTGACAGACTCCCGCCATCAGCATGGCTACAAACAAACAATGACACAACACAGTGCCCCTGTTCCGAATACCAACACAATAGAGGACGGAGTTAGGCACTCACGTTACACAGGGCGATACGGACTCTGTCACCACAGGGGATCAACTGTAAAACACCCAGCAGCTGCAGACCACAACGCCAAATTACAGCTCCCAGTCCTGCCCCTAAATGTGCCTGTCAACCAATCGCAGCTCACCCCCTTTTTTATTTTTATTTTTTTGAATCCACTCTGCCCTAGAACCACAGAAACATCCCCACCATCCAGTGAGTTTTAGGCATAACAAGGCACACAGTCAAACATCCACCATCTGCTTTCAGTTAAGGAGAGCGTGCCGGCTGGTTGGATTCTTGTGAAGGAATGTGAAAGCAGTGTGGAGTGTGTGTGTGTGTGTGTGTGTGTGTGTGTGTGTGTCAGACTGTGTGGTGTTGGTGGGGATTTCTTACCTTCCTTGAACCATCTTTAACAGGTCGCTAAGCAGACAGGGAGCTCATTCTTGTCCTGTGGTCGCAAACAAAGAGAATTGAAAGATATGTCAAGGAAGCAGCAGGAAGTGAGTGTCCGTGCAAGAGGCGAGGCATGGTGGGAAGTGACTGGACATGAGTAAGCTGCTCCGAGCGCCACTTGGATGGAGATGGAGAGGAGGAGGTTACGGGGAGGGAGTGAAGGAGGGGAAGTGAGAGTGGGAGGGAGTTAAAAAAAAAAAAAAATAGGAAAAACAGCTGAGAGAAAGTCTACAGAAAAGGAGGAGGAACATCAAAATGACAACAAGTTGTATAAAGCGTAAAAGTTAAGCCAATCGTACATCAGCGCTCAACATTTCTGCAGGAATTAATCTCTTCCACATCCTCGTGATTCCCTCCCTCACAGGAGAATAACACTATTGTCCCTTCCAATTAGTGTTGTGATGCAACCGGCGTCCTCCTCAGCTGCGAGAGGCCCATTTCCTCACCAACATTACAACCAACGTGAGCGCCGTCCATCGTGGGAACCGTGTCGCACAACGCAGCAGCCTCGCAACTCTAGTTTCTTGTCATACGATATCATATACTTGTTTTTAAATCTCGGGGCTCTATTTTTGCCCTCTGCTGTTGTTCTGGCTGGTAACAACACCAAAATGTGGCTTTCTTGGACAACACGCAATGTTTCCTAAAATCGTGACGTTGTGTAAAAGGAGAAACCGAGACAGATGGAAAGAGGTGATGTGTGTGTCTGTGTGTGGGTGAGCGTGCTAAAGACGAGTCATCAAACACTCTGGTTGGTTTTGTGTCTTGCCCAGGACTCTCACAGTTTTTTTTTACCCCCCAACAGCACAATATAGAAGCAAATTATAGAGTCGGACTCCACAAACGTTACATTACATGCATTTGGCAGACATCCTTGTGTAAAACCACCTAATCGCTGTGCATACAAATAACATTGGGAGCAGTTTTAAGCTTGCTGTCGTGTTCAAGACTGTTCGACATGTAAGACGGGAGGAAACGCAACCTTGTGATTAATTATCAATCTGCATGCTGCTCTGAACTTGACTTAGTTTCCCTATTTATAGGCCGACGGCAGATTTTAGGACGGGGTTGCCAGGCTGCCAGAGAGGCATCAGCTGGCAAACAAAATGTAGTAATTTATAACAGGAGAGATGATGGTGCTGTGTAATCATACGTCCTATGTCAACAGTACATAACTCAAAGTTGACATGTGGTTCGCTTAGTCTCTATTTTTAAGAAGGGATTTAATTAAAGATTAATGACTCAGCCAAATCACCGAGGCAACAGCCAATAATGACTTATAACAGATATAATGACACCACCAAGAAATCTGCCACTATTACATCATAATTGCTGGTTACAATTTGAGCTATATGCTAAAATCAACATGCTAACATGCTAATATTTATTGAGCATAATGTTTACCATTATCACACCCTTAGGTTAACATTTGGCCTAATAACCTGCACAAAACACAAGTTCAGCTGAAGCTGATGGAACCATCATTAGTTTTGCAGTTATTTAGGGATAAACTGATGCAGTATAGGACAAATCTTGATCCTCTGATGGTGGCACCATTTAATTTATCGAGATATTTCATTCAGCAACTGAACGACTGACCATCTGACAAGAGTAGAAACCCGTAATGAACACTCAGATGGTACTGGTTTAAATAACTGCTTTGCAACTTGTCAGGTTGTAGTTTACATCCATCTCTTCATCTGTTCCTGAGTTATGACGTTGAACAATGACAAAAAGCCTTGTTGCAGAACATGACGATGTCACTGTGAAGTTAACCTTTGACCTTTTCGATATAAAATAGCATCACTTAATCATTTAATCGCATAAGATGTTTGTGTGAAATTTTGTAATAATTAACATATGCATGAATAAAGACCAAATATGTCTTTTATAAGGTCATGGTGACCTTTGACCTACAACCACCAAACTCCGATGAATCAAAATGAATGTTTGCACCAAATCGGAAACCATTTCCTAAAGGTGTTCCAAAGATATTGTGATAGACAAATATTAACATGCTGACTGTTCAAGGGACAATTTTTGGGTCATTAATTCCCTCTGTGCATGAGCACGCCTGAAGATGTGCAGTTAACCAGGAAACGGGTCATTATTATAGAGGATAAAGTACATTGTATGAGATTTTGCCTGGAGACTTGGACTGCACTGGACTTTGCAGCACCCTGTCCATCGCCATGCTGTTCCTCACATTCCCTGGTTCACCTGTTTATCATCATCGCTTTGCCTCTCAAGTTAATTTTCTGCTGCCCTCTGCTCGTGTCAGGTAAGTATTAAGTGTGAGTAATTGATGCTCACTGGTTACTGAAAAAAATCCTCCAAATTCTGATTTTTCGGTTGTTTTGTGTAGTCAGTGGCACAACAAACTGCAAGATTAGCGTAAGCAGTGATTATCTCCTCTCAGACAACAATACACAGGCAATGACTCCAATCAAACATGCTCCATTTGTTACAGTACATTTCTGTCTTCATCTGTCAGCCAAATAGGTCAAGATTTGGATTTACCAACTCAATACAACACCACTGAGACTGAGCAGCTTATAACACTCCACACAATCCGGCTAAAATATACAATTTTTGATCCAGCACAGAAGAAATCTGCTTGTTTTCAAAGGAATAAAATGTGCTTTTTTACTAATCTAGAAAAGCCCTGTTGCTGAAAGTCCTGACCGATATTCCTGTCTCATTCACAGTACCTGCTGTCACAATGTGACACAGAAAGAGAGGCCACCGTTACCCAGAAGTCACTGCTCTACTTGCTCAAAATAACCTGAAATACAGTAGAGGGATGGCAGAGGACATGTCAAAGCATAGGCTGTTAAAAACACATCCTTTGTGTGTGTGAATCTGTGAGCTGATTCTGAAATACTTTCCTGTGATTGCAGTGTTTACATGCAGCGCTGTGTCTGTGTGTGTTCGTCTCATTATGACACATGCCTCACTGGATTATCCTGATTTGGTAATATCCAATTACACAATTATAGCAATTTGATAATTACACACATTTGTAGCTTCCATGTCTCTGGAGTCAAAGACACAATAGGCAGGACAGAGAAGAACAGACTTCTGTGGTAGTAGCAGTCAGCTACACCCATAGACTGTATGCTACTTTCTTTTTCTACATAAGAGGATATTTGACATTTTTGAAACAATGCCAGTACTAATAAATGCCATTGTAAGTGTCTTTCAGTGTGTTGTTGTAGAGAATAATTCACTGGATTAGTTTCTACCTTCCATCCAGATATCAAACTATTTCTTTTTAGGCAGCATCAAGCAGCAAATCAAGGAAGCAACATCCCAAATCAGAATTACATTTTAGTATCCAAACTATAATGTGCACATCTTACATCCAAAAGTTGCAGTAATTTAAACTGACTGACATCAGTTTTGCCCTTATGATGTGCTACATACATGAGGCAAAGTTTGTGTATGAAGGTGTTTTTGAGTTTTCACTCCCTAGCGAGCTCCTCTGTTTATTCCTGCGGGTCTGAGGTGATCAATGTCCGCACTAAAACACAAACGAAAAATAACAATTAATCAAAAGTTGTAACACAGCCAAATTGAATTTCCTTGTCTTTGTTACAACTAATTTGCCAGACAGAGTGCACCATTGCTCAAAGCTCTGCCGGGTTTCTTTACACTTGCTGGGTGCTGCTCCAAATAATGGACCTGGCAGTTTAGGGCAGGCTGCAAACTCATCTCCTCTACATTAGCGGGAAAGGTTCATCATTAAGAACAATTAATTAAGTAATAGCCAGGAGTTGTTACAAGAAACCCAATTTTACTAAGACATGGAGCACTTTTCCTGCACTGCCGGCTGCAAATTGTTGCACTTGTTATGTAATTATTCATTATCACTACACAGATACACCTGGAAACTACAATTTTCCCCCTTTTCTATTGAGTGGGAATGGAGCAGCAGTCCTATTGTAAACATGAATTCTGAGATCGGCTTTAGAAGATTCAAAAGAGGACATTAGGTCCCAGAATAATGAGACTAAGCACAATGAAATGAAAGAAATGCTCGCCTCTGGGGCTTTTGTCATTTTTTTCTCATCTGGTTTCTGGTATTGTCAGCTGTCTGCCATCCCAGAGGGTTTCATACACAAAGGTGTGGTCTGGACAAATAGCTGGAAGGTAGGACACACCTTTCACTTAGATTAAAAACCAGCTTTCTTGTTAAACAGGAGTTTTAAACTCCAGGGTGAATTTGATCAACTATGAGGAACACATATGAGTGCAGTTCTTTTCTAAAATTCCCTGAGTGTTGCTCTATTTGTAACATCCACTTTAGATTCATTTCTCCTGATCCTGAAACAGTCATCACCCTATCGCCCGACAGTCGCACTCACGGAGAAGAAATTTACAGTGGCCATGGTAACACAATGACAGACAGGCCCATTAAAGTGATAGTAGCTGCTTAAATATTTAGGGCTCCAGGTGAAGTCACTGAAAGGCCAGATAGAACCGGGCCTGAGTGTTTATAGTCCTCGTCGTCCTCATCCAATAAACAACACAGCAGGAAGGAAAAGGCCATTCATTTTCTTATCTGTGTCTGTCTTATTCCCTTCAGCCGGAGGGACACTAACCACCACTGCGCCGCTCCATTCATCTGTAGGAGTGTCAGATTACGACGAGTTCAGAGCAGATCACATATTTACAATTGCATTGATATTTAGCTGGGCATTGTATGTCTTTGTTAGCAGAAACACAATGAGGACTAGGGAACAGACGAGGAAAACCTGCATTAAAGACGCCCGACTCGACTCAAACAGGGTCAACATCTTTAACCGCTGGGCTAACATGGCACTTGCAGAATCCAAATTCTTGATAGCATATCCAGAAACCTGCACAGGTCTTATATTGGCTACTTAGACTGCTGCTGAGGTGGATGTCGGGTGGAGACATGCTGGAATTACACAAGGTCCCAAACTTTTAAGATGCAAAATGAGGACATAACTTCTCCCAGATGTGCACATT